ATATACCGTTTGACAAAGCGATGGCAGGGAGATGCCATGCAATGCATAAGCTAACCGGTACAAGAAAGCTCCTACCAGTGCCATCACTCCTCTGCATCGCTCCCGTCCATTTCAACATCGTCGTCATCTTCTTCGGAGTCACCCGTAGCCTCCGCGGTGTCCAGCAGCTCCCTCCACTCAGCCTCGAGATCGGCCAATGCCGCGGAATCTCCCCTGACCTCCCTTCGCGTTACTTCCACCGCGTCATTGGCATCTTTTGCTCTACCCGACTTGAGCAAGTGTTCCGCCAGCGTCATAACCGCCACTACCCTTTCACTAGGCGTGGTGCAGACAGATCGCCAGGCTTCGTAAGTCGCCTGTACGGCTTGCAGATCAGACCCTGCGACGGAAAGGAGCTCGAACCCTTGGCGGTAAAAGAGTGGTGAGGGGCGATATGTCGATTGGATCTCCTTCAATCGGGCGAACAAGTCGGAAGCGCTCTCTGCGGAGTGTTGCAGGTAGGCGAGTAGTAGCCGCGAGTGCAGTTCCGGAACAACGTTGCCGAGCCGCAGACTCTCACGGAGGATCTTGCGGATCATGGCTGCCCTGACTTTGAGATCGGATGCGGCATGTCGTCCGGTTGACTCCGCATTGAACCAAGCCAGCCAAATGGCTATCACGTCCTCTTGATCGCTGGGAGACAAGCCCGACCGAGTCACGGCCTTGACAATGGTCTCGAAGGCTGGTTTGGGCAAGTCTTCCCCGTGCTCGAGCTCGAGTACAAGAAGGCGACGTTGCAGGCCTGGATGAGACGGGTGGACGGCTGCGTGCGCGCGAGCGGCTTTGTAAACAGCATCGCCGTCCGCTGCGTTACCGAGCACGTCGAGGTGGAGGAGCAGCAAGGAAGGGGATGGTTTTCGAGACACTTTGGTCAGACTGGTGAGGATGGAGAGGAGGTAGTCTCTCTACAGTGGACATCAGCACTCGTCACCAGGCATAAATGGCAATGACGCACCAGATCCTTGTTGTCTCCGCAGGAATCAATCTGCTTCGCGAGCCAGCCTCCTGCCATGTCCACCCAATCTCCCGCCGTGTCCTCCTTGGACGCCTTTCTAATCTCCTTGCCGATCCCGCCCAGCTCGTCCACCAGCTCCACACCTTCCAAGACAACCCCACCGTCATCACGCCGTTTCGGGTCGTAAGGCCGATCATACAGCCCTCTTGTGAGAAGCAGGAGTCTTGCCCGCGCGGCGTTTCCTCCTCCGCCACTGCTCCCCTCCTCCAACTCGTCATAAACCACCTTCAAGCATCTCGTCCTCAGAGGACTGGGGTAAGATCGCAGCATCGTCAAGAGGCTCTCGCGGAAGGCGATACCATCCCCCTCCTCTTCTGGTGGTGCGTTGAGAGGAATCGCCTCGAGAGCCGACGTCAAAGCGTGAACCACGAGCTGTCCCGCCAATATCGCTTTCCTCGCCTCTTCGCCCTCGGGTCCAAACGCCCCTTCACCACCAATCAGCGCTTCCGGATCGCCCTCGTAGTTTGCGTGGGATCTCGGAGTCGAGCTCGCAAGATCGTTTTTGATTCCCAAGACTCGCCATCGCCGCCGGAGAGCCTCGACCCAGCCGAGCTCGAGCTTGACGTATTCCGTCCACAGATCCCGGCTGCCTGGCACCATACGAAGCCCGAGTAGCAGGGTCGTGCGCGCTGGCTGGGTCCCCTCCAAAGCAAAGCCAGTGTCTTTCTCCTCGGATGTGGAAGGAAGGTCGAGAGTGGACGTAGAGGGGATGGCAGAGCGAGGGAATGGTGAAGAGGGATGGAGATGGTGATACGACGAGAGGAGGTACAGCGTTGGAGATAGAGGGTGATGCTGAAGTGCGCTGAAGACAATTTAGCGAGAAGCAACACTTACTGGCTCGGAGAGCTACACACCTGTTCAGCCCCTTCGCTACCACCTTGCGCATGCCCTCTCGACTCGCATACTCGACGTACGCCAGCCAAACCGCCAAATCGCCCGGGAACTTCTGCGTAGCCCGCTTGAGGATGTACAGCACTCTCCGGGGTAGTGAGAACGTCGAAGCACTCGGCGGCGGGGGGTTGCGATCGTATCCTGTTCCGTCCATCAGTCTCTTCTCTGCGACCGTCTACTTTCAAGCGGCGCTCGCGCCCGCGCTCACCCAATCGTTTCCACCGCACTCGCCGCAGCTTTTCCAGATTGATCTCGTATTCTGCATACTTGAAGAAATCCTCCTTCCGCGTGACCCGGCGGACTAAGGACGTCTCCAAAGCCGTTCGCCGCCGAGTGATCTGATCGATCTCATTCTGTGGCAATCAGCTCCTGCGCAGGGAATCGCTCTGGTCTACGTCGAGAGGTGCATGGTGACTGACCTTTGAGAAGAGCCCCTTCTCGTGGAGGTCCTTGAGCTCGGGAAGAGTCGATTCGAGCTGGAATTGGACCTTCTCCATCTTTCAGATTCGACTCTGTGAGCCTCGGGAACCTCTCCAGTAGCCAAAGTACCTATCCGGGTTGAAGCCGAGGAAGAAGAGATGGAAGACTAGGGTATGCCAGCAGCAACACCACCAGCAGAAGACCCAACTTTTTGCGACACCATGACGTGGCTTTTTTGATCCCGTCGCAAGTGAGCTCTGCCAAAAGTCCTGGTGTCTCCTCCTCAACCTGCATCTGTCTACCTCTCCGTCCTTGCCCTCTGCTGCGCCAGACCCCATCGTAAGCAACGCACACCTCATCGACATGCAGTCAAGAACCGTCGCACGCGCCGCTAGAGCCGGCTCAGAGACCGCCCGACTCGGTGCCGTTCGCGCCTCGTCTTCGTCGGCTGGGCCCTCGACCGACCGTCTCCCCTCCGACCCCTCCTCCAGCCGATCCCAACCCAAACTTAACCCGGCTCTCCGCTCCCTCGTTGAGCTCCACCACACCTCTTCCACCTTCCTCCACGATGCCAACCAGGTGCCTCACGGTTTCGAGAATGCGTTCCGACACACACTCCCCCCGACTTTCTCGCGATACGACTCGTGGGCGAGCGACGTGCACGCCAACCGTTCCGCCCGGGGCGTGGGCGGTGTGGAATCCCTCACTGCCCGCGCATCTCCCAACTCGACGGGCGGGATGCTGGCCCGAGGCAGATCCGCGACACCCGCCAGGATGATCAACGCCGTCTGGAAGGAGAGGCAGACAAACTGGTCAGAGCAACAACACGGCGGACAGCTCCTCGAGTCGGAGAGGGAGTTGAGGGTCAAGGAAGCGCTCTACGGGACGTGGGAGAGGGGAGGCGTGGGAAAAGTCGACCCGGCGCTGGATGGTGTACTGGAGTTGGTCGAGGCCAAGGGCACGACTGTCGAGGAGTACGCCCGGGAATGGCTCCGGCGCGAGAAGGATTAGGGAGGCGCAAGCTTAACCTCGAGTGGCGCCGGTGGAGACCAAGGGAGCTGATCTGGCTCCAAACCTATGCCATCATGGCCCTGCGCACAGATGATTATATGTATCCTGCATACGAACCGAACCGCGTCTGCCATATCACGATGTGAGAGCGATGCGAGAGGCGGTTGGCCCATGTCTGATATGTTCCACGTCCGAACCCGTGAAGCCACGATATGGTCCGCTGATTCCGCCTTCCTCAGCGTCTCCCTGGGACCTGCTGCACTCGCTTGTCGCCCTTCTCCATCCGCGCACGAAGCTTGGCCTGCTTCTTGGACTCGCCGTCCTGCTGCTTGGCCTCCTGTGGTGTGCCGTTGGCTTCGCGCGGCGCACTGGACCCGAATATTCCAGGGAGGACCATGGCCAGGATCGGTCGGAAGGTGGCCAGGACCTTGTACAGCCCAAGACCGGGGATCTGCGAGGTTTGTCAGTGGCGAGTGTAAGAAAGGATCAAGGGGCCGGAGGGGCAGCCTGGGCGTCGTGGACGTACGAGGAGCCACAGCCACCATGCGCGGTCACCGAAGATAGCGCTCGCTCCGACGCAGAGCCAGGTGCCAATGAGGCTGTACCGTCAGCTCGGACGCAAATGGGGACCACTTCATGATCGGACGCTGTTGCTGGCCGACGTCGGGCGGAGGAACATCGTGCCAAAGTGAAGAGCGTCAGTCGGATCCGCCCACTCACACATCCCAGGCAAACTCGATGATACCGCCCGCATCCAGGTCCTGCTCGACGACGAGCTGACCGCTTTTGTCCTTCCTCGGCGTCCCGATGGCAACAAACCACCTCCAAATGGCGATCGTGAGCGAGTAGGTGACGGCGTGGACGATGAGAATCTTCTTGCTCGGCACGAAGGTCCGCGAGGTGATGAGCGATGCCAGAAATCGGAATATGATGCTGAAGATCTGAACCGAGTCATGGTGTCAGCATTCATGATGCTTGGACGTGCGCTGACAGACACGTACAGTGACAAGACACATCCTCCAAGGGATGAGCATTAGATTCTCCTCATTGTTGCGCGCTATGCGCTTGGTCGACGCGTTGGCCTGCGGTTCGGCATGTCAGCGACTGATTCAGCGTATCTCTACGGCGGGCCAAGCAGGCAGAGGTACACGCCAAGGGCGACTGACCATGATACGTGATGGATATTGCTGTGCAGTACCTGTTTGCGCAGATGACGACGGGGAGTAATGAGTGGGATGAGGTTAGCTAATGAGGCGAGAGAGATGTTGCCGGATATAGGCGGCGCCGCGCGGGAGCAAATGGCTCTACAACGTGTTTGACTGGGTTTACTCCCCTTGACTTTACTTTCTCTTAGCTTTACGCCTGACACCCCTTCGCGTCGACGCGCTGCCCAATGACACAGCATGATCGCAAGGACAAGCTAGCAACACGTCCACTGAATGCGTCAGATCCCTGTCGCCGATCCCGGACCCTCCGATGTGGCACCTCACCGCTCCGTGGCACATCGTCTTCCGCACCTCAGCTGTTTCACAGAGTCAAGCTCTCCTTCAACCTCGTCAGACTCGCAGAAGGCCACTGCGAGTAGACGCAGTATACAATTGAAAATTTGCCTCAAAATGTTTGGGCGATCTTGGCCGAGTGGTTAAGGCGTTGGATTTAAGGGACACCCTTTTGTCTCCCAATAGGATTCATCCTGCGAGAGTTCGACCCTCTCAGATCGCAGCTTACGTAAGATCTTTTTGTCTCGCGGCCCCTCCATGCTACCTGCACTTGGTTTGTTGCATCGAATGCGTCGGAAGACGCTTGAAAACGGTGATGACGACGAAGATGGAGTTGGATGGGCAGAGTGCCACACTCGGTGCCAAAATGAAAAATAATTATTTGCTCCCGGCGGCGTGGCGGTTTCAACACATTTCGTTTTGGTGGAGGTTGCCCGACTCCTCTGTCGTCGTCGTTGTGTTCAGCAGACCACATGCGGCTCTCCCTCACCACCCTCAAACAATCCTCCTCGTCGAAACAATGGCTCTCCCGCCAGTCCCGCGATCCATACGTGAACGCCGCCTCTGGAGCGAGTTCCGGACCGATCTTCCGCGCGCGCTCGGCACACAAGCTCGTCTCCCTCTCGGCGCGGTACCCCTCGCTCCTGCGACCGGGGAACCTGGTCGTTGATCTCGGAGCGGCGCCGGGCGGGTGGAGTCAGGTCTCGGCGCAAAAGCTGCGTGGGAAGGGGATGGTCTGGGCGGTGGACCTCCTGGGTATGGAGAGCGTTCGGGGGGTGGAGGTGATTCGGGGGGATTTCCTTTGTCCGACTGTCCAGGAGGATTTGAGGCTCCGGATCGCGGCGTATCGAGGATCGGGCCGGACAGAGGGGGGAAAGCTTGGACCGGCCGACGGAGAGGAACACTCGGGATTGAGAGACACCAACAATGACGCCGACGCCCTGGCGGTGGACACCGTGCTGAGCGACATGATGGCGCCGATGTCGGGTGTCCGGCTGCGGGACGTTCAGGCGAGTCTGGACCTCGTCATGGCTGCCACGACATTTGCGAACAAGGTGCTCCGCCCAGCGGCGCCGGGCGAGGAAGCGGTGGGGATGGGAAAGGCAAAGGTCTACCCGGGCGGCAATTTGGTGTGAGTGGTTTCACCTGGATACGGACCGGACTCCTACATCTAGCTTCCCCGCGCTCTCGCAAACTCTACAATGCGCTTGATGATAGCGGGAACTCGCCTCCGCGCCTCGGGCATCGTTGCTGACGCATACACACAGCATGAAGTACTTTGCCCATCCGGACCTCGACGCGTTCAGGAGAGAGGAGCTCGTGCCCCGGTTCGCAAAGGTCGCAGTGGAGAAGCCCAAGGAGTCCCGAGCCGGTACGTCGCGGGTGTCTTGACCATCCTCTCTGCGATTCGTGGTTGACGGGTCTTGCGCAGAATCCAGCGAGGCCTATTGGGTCTGCCTCGGATTCAAAGGAGGCGCGTGATCCGCTCCTCGTTTCTCGGCAACGCAACGGCATATACAGCATCACTCGCACACACCGCCGCGGAGGGATCTGCGCACGTCATGCGAGTGCAAAGCATGATCGGCCTCGAGACCGAACTCGAGCTACTACCACTCACCAGCCTATCGTCCTTGCGACTGCTTCTTGATCTTCCGATCCATACATCTGTGCAAGATGTCGGATATGGGGCGAGATAGATGCCTCTGCCCTTTTCAAGGTTGCTCGAAATCCTTTGGCCGGTACGAGCGGCTCCAGCGACACCTGCTGGCATGCCGTGGGTATCTCGGACCGCTCGCATTCACCAGCGTTGGCTGACGAGAACAGACGCTTCGCCCTCTCGCCATCGCGAGGTCCTGCCTGGGAAGTCCAACGCAAGCGACACCCACGCCAAGAACGCAAAGAGAGCTTCATATGACGATGGCGGCGTTGGCGAGGCTGCGCAACCTGCGGTGTCGTGGAAACAAGCGGTGAAGCGGAGAAAGAGGCAGAAGCCCACCAAGAAGCTGTACGTCCGGCACGCCTGACTTGTGCTCGCTGCTGGACTGACACTGCAGATCCGGCCAAGCTCGTGCTCCGGGCGAAGGCCCCCCTGCTCTACCCCCTCAAAAGCATACCCCGTTGGTCATTGACCTGCGCACTCCTTCTCCCCCTCCCACCTTGATGTGTAGCACCGATCTGCGCGACACACCCATATCGAGTGCGACTAGCCACTCCACCAACCGCGGCCTCTCGCGCGTGCCAACATGGGTCACCAGCCCAGCGTCGGTCTCTCGTCAGCCATCCCCGGCTCAAGACCTCATTGACGAGCTGGACAGCGACAGCGAGGTGGAGAACGAGTCAATCCCCCCTCTCGAGGCGCGCGAATATCATGTCCAAGAGAAGCCTGTCGCCGCGATCAGATCTGGAATCGCCGAATCGCCATTCGATCGGCTAGGAGGGATATGTCGGCGTCGGCCGATCTCACTATCGCCTGATCCGCCAGTCGAACCCCAGCAAGGCTCCTCCGCATCACAAGGTACATCGCGCCAGGTCCGCCGGCAAAGTTTTCCCCTGTCCGACGATTCCGACGACGGCGTCATCGTCAACGTTTCGCAGCCTGCTCATATCGTATCGCGGGGTTTGTATTGCCCTCCGGCTTTTGAACCGTTCCTGCGATTTGCTTTCGACACGCCCCCGCCGGACGGCTTCGTCTCTGCCAAGACAACGATCGAGGGCGGGGCTTCCGATGCAAGAGTCGATCGCGACGACATCGATCATGGGTCGGCGTCGACCCTTGCTATGACTGCCGTGGAGGATGTCCACCCGAGACCGGACTGCCGAGTCGATGTTAATGAGATCGACATGGACAACCAGGATGGCCGGAAAGACATCCTCATCTCGCCGGATCTCGATCACGCCGAAAAGTCAGAGTCAGTCGGGGAACAACGCAGTGTCTCCCCTGGGAGCAATCGCGATGACCTCGAAGGGGCGAACAACATCCCCCAAGTCGATTGCGAGACAAACTACGTCGGATCAGGCCCTCGCGCCGGTTCTCTGGCTGGACCTTTCACCCCCGCCTCTCGCTCGTTTCACACAGCTTCGGAGCTGGGTACTCCGCTCTCCGCCTCAATCGTCGAGCACATTCTCGGCGACTTCAAGGCGCACAACCATCCCCACAGTCCAGCACGGGCTGGCCATCTCCACTCGGACGTCATACTCGAAACGGCCTCGTCAATCTTTCTCGCCATTGGCAGGGCGCTCGACGTGCTGGTCCGCGCGAGGTCTGCATGTCAGTGCGACCAGTCGGGTGGGCGACGCTCGTCCCAAGAGATCTTGTCGAATTCGTTGGAGCTGCCGGAAACGGCGCCGACGACGAAGCAGCATCCGGAGAGGATCACCTGAGTGAGGACAGACAGCGAGGCAGAGGTGCGCAGAGACGTGGCCGGCCCAGTGTGGAAGAGTATGCGGAACGAGCCTGATACAATCATCGCTATGCACCTACATTACTAGCTCTCCATTTCATTGCCTTGAAGCATCGGATCGGTCAGAAAGTGAGGGAGAGGGGAAACGCCCCGAGACACGGCGTATGGGCATTATATGCATAACTGCCTTTCTGCGAATTGCGATGAATCCGTCGAGGTGTGCACAGTGATCATGTCCTCTGTTTTTCGATCCCATACGCAAGTGTACGAGCGCGCAATGAGCCGCGCGAGGTTTTCGTTTGAGCGGGCCGAGTTTGAGCGGTGCTGCGGGTGTAAGCACCGATCACGAAAAAGCCAACCCTCGTGCAGGTGCCAAAGCCAGGCAATCACTCACGTCCGACGATACGTGAGACCCCACTTACGCTTACGCCTCGGTGGCCTGCTCGGTCGCCTCGGCGGCCTGCTCCCTCTCGATCGGCTTCATCTCATTGGCAATCTTGGCGGTGATCTTGCGGTCGCCAACCAAGCTTCCCTCGACCTTCTCCACCGCCTCCTTCTGCTGGGCCGGGTCCTCGACCTCGACAAAGCCGAAACCCTTGGAAGCGCGGAAAGGTCGGCTACCGGGCTTGCCGCGACGCACGCCGTGGATGACCTTTGCCGACTTGACGGTGATGGAGAGGTTGGTGAAGATCGCGGCGAGGGCGTCGTCGTCGACATTGAACGGGAGGTTGGCAACGAAGATGGTGTTCTGGACCCGACCGTCAGCGTGTGAGTTTCATCACGAAGCTGTGCCGAGCACCCGGCGCGACGCGGCTCACCTGAGACTGCTCGCCAGTGAGCTCGAGACGAGGCGCGCGGGGCTTGCGCTCGCGCTTCTTCTTCTCGGTAGTCGCCGCAACCCCGCCCTCACCCTCGCCCTCGGCAGCGTCGATGCGAGCCTCCTTGGGCTTGCGTGCGCGGCCCTTGGGTTTCGGCGCGACGGCGTCGGAAGCCTCGCCTTCGACCTCGGCGCCGGTCGCTTCCTCGCCCTCCTCCGGCAGCCTGCGGCGGGGCTTCTGCCAGACGCGTCAGATATTGCACCTTCCAATCGGACCAGTCTTGGCACGGGACGCTGGCTCGAACTCACCCTCGCAGACCTCTTCTTCTTGGGCTTGCTCTCGGTCGCAGCGGGCTCAGCCTGTGCGGGCGCGGCCTCTCCCTTCTCCGCCGCCCGAGCAGCCTTCTCCGCGGCCTTGGCAGCTTTGGCCTCCTTGCGCTTCTCGTCCGCGGCGTTGCGGCGCTCCGCGACCTCCTCCTTGGACCTCGCCAGCTCGAGAAGGATCTTGCGGCCGTCGAACTCTGTTCACATCGATCAGCACGAGCCCGTGGCGTCGGCGCAGCAACGCTGTGGGTCGAGCGAACCAGACCCACCTTGGTCGTTCAGCTGCTCAACCGCCTTCTTGGCGTCGGCCTCGTCCTTGTATGATGCAAAGGCGTATCCGGCGGGGCGCTTGCCGAAGCGGAGAGGGAGGGCGACAGACAGGCTGACAAAGTCAGTGTCACGCCATAAACAAGGGACAGAGGACAATGTAGAGTAGAGAGATCAGGGATAGGGAGTAAGACGCACAGCTCGCCACCGGCCTTGCCGAGGAACTCGCGAACCTGCTCCTCGGTGGTCTGCGACTGTCAGATCGGTACCTCGCATCTCGCGGCTCGCATAGATCGGACATACCGAGTAAGAGAGGTTGCCGACGTAGACCTGTGAGGTGTGAGCCAACGCGCCCTTCCGGTCTGTCCAGTCGCGACTAGCCAGTGCACAGGCATCGTTGCCATCTCAAAGCGC